ATTTCTTCCCCATTATTTCCATGACAATTAAGCATATTTTTTCAAAAAAAATATATTAAATAGTATTTTACATGCTAGCATTTGTTGTATTAGTACTGATTGAAATTAGTATCTATTCTTGTATCATAGCGTTTTGATTATAGTAATCAGAATTTGGGAGTAAAATGTGCCTTTATTATCATAATAATGAAGCAGATCATTTTTTAAGACTTTTTTTTTTAATTTCAGGTGAAATATGCGCAGGACTGGAAAGTAGTTGAAGAGAAAAAGGACTTTTTAAACTCTTAAAGGGACAGTTCACCCAAAAATGAAGATTTTGTCATCATTTACTCAGCCTCAAGTTGTTTCAAACTTGTATGAGTTTCTTTCTTCTGCTGAAAAAAGAGCAAGATATTTTGAAGGATGTTGGTAACCAAACAGTAGACGGACCCCATTGTCTTTCAGTTGTTTTATTCCTACTATGAAAGTCACTGGCAACAGCCAACAGTTTGGTTACCAGTGTTGTGCCTTACGATAATTCCTGAACTCGTTCATATTTTGGGCTGAATGTGAATTGAACCGCCTGATGAGCGATACTGTGAACGCGTTCATTCTGGTGTCGGTGAACACACATGCTCTCTCAGTTTAACTTTGTTCAATAGGGTGCCAGATTTCCACAGAGCCTTCCAGGTGAAAACCCGGCTAAAACACAAGTAAACAGGGCTTAAAGGAGTAGTTCACTTTAAAAAAACTTTTGCTGATAATTTACTCACCCCCATGTCATCCAAGATGTCCATGTCTTTCTTTCCTCAGTCGAAAAGAAATTAAAGTTTTTGATGAAAACATTCCAGGATTTTTCTCCATATAATGGTCTTCAATGGAAACCAAATGGTTCAAGGTCCAAAAGACAGTTTCAGTGCAAACTGTTCAAAGGGCTTTAAACGATTCCAGACGACGAATAAGGGTTTTATCAAGCGGAATGATCGCTCATTTAATAAATATATAACAAAGTTTAAGTTTTATAAGCTCAAATGCTCGCCTTGCTCTGTTCTATGATGAGCGTTCGTGACTCTCCTGTTCGAACTCGTTCATCAAAATGAACAAATCTTTTTTCGTGTTATTTCGTTCATCCAACGAACGAAATGAACAAATTGACTCGGAAAAGAATTCGTTCAATTTTAATGAACGAGTTCGAACAGGAGAGTCACGAACGCGCATCACAGAACAGAGCAAGGGGACCATTTGAGCTTACAAAAATTAAACTTTTTTTTTTTAAATGAGCGATCGTTTCGCTTGATAAGACCCTTATTCATCGTCTGAAATTGTTTTAAGCCCTTTGAACAGTTTGCAGTTTGCACTGAAACTGTCTTTTGAACCTTGAACCGTTTGGTTACCAGTAAAGTCCATTATATGGAGAAAATTCCTGGAATGTTGTCATCAAAAACCTTAATTTCTTTTTGACTGAAGAAAAAAAGACATGGACATCATGGATGACATGGGGGTGAGTAAATTATCAGAAAAAGTTTTTTAAAAGTGAACTACTCCTTTAATATGTAGCGGAAAAAAACACCCAATCTGGCAACACCAGCCACCAGTGTCGCACCGCCACATGCGCCATCAAAACAATAAGAATTATATAGTCGATAAAGCATTGAGGAGGAGTTGTATGGTAATTTAAATGCGTTTTATGACAAGGTCTGTGAGAACGGGAAAAATCTTACATTTCTGTGCAAACTTTCCCCGCCGATATAATAATTGCTGTAGTGGTTGTATATGGACTGTGGCACTAATTAAAAAAAAACATAGCTCACAGCAACATATGGAAAAAAGAACTATCAACTAGCTCATTATTCGAACTTGTTCATTATTGAACTAGTTAATTTTTAAATTTGTGAACTGGACTTTGAACTAGTTCATGTAAAGGAACTTTCAAACACTGTAGGTTACTAACATTCTTCAAAATATCTTGTTTTGTGTTCAGCAGAAGAAAGAAATATACAGAGTTTGAAACAACATGAGGGTGAGTAAATGACACAATTTTAATTTTTGGTGAACTATCCCTTTAAGAATGTTGTTGGTTAAAGGAATAGTTCACTTTTTTAAAAAAGCTGATAATTTTGCTGATAATTTACTCACCCTCATGTCATCCAAGATGTCCACGTCTTTCTTTCTTCAGTCGAAAAGAAATTAAGGTTTTTGATGAAAACATTCCAGGATTTTTCTCCATATAATGGACTTCATTGAGTACCAAACGGTTCAAAGTCCAAATGAGAGGTTCAGTGCAATCTGTTCAAAGGGCTTTAAACGACACCAGACGATCACTTAGGGTCTTATCTAGCAAAACGATCTGTCATTTCAAAAATAAATAAACTAGTTTAAGTTTATAAGCACAAATCCTTGCTCTGTTCGTGACTCTCTCAAATCTTTTTTTCGAGTCATTGGTTCATTTAATGAGCCAAACGACTCGAAAAAGATTCGTTCATTCATTTTGATGAACGAGTTCGAACAGGAGAGTCACGAACCCTCATCACCGAACAGAGCAAGGCGAGCATTTGTGCTTATAAAACTTAAACTTCTGTATTTATTTTTGAAATGACCGCTCGTTTCACTAGATAAGACCCTTATTCATTGTCTCGTGTCGTTTAAAGCCTTTGAACAGTTTGCATTTTGTACTGAAACTCTAATTTGGACCTTGAACCGTTTGGTTCCCATTGAAGTCCATTATATGGAGAAAAAATCCTGGAATGTTTTCATCAAAAACCTTCATTTCTTTTCGACTGAAGAAAGACATGGACATCTTGGATGACATGGGGGTGAGTAAATTATCAGCAAAAGTTTTTTTTAAAGTGAACTACTCCTTTAAGAACATTTCAAGTATTTGAAGGATTTGTGAAGAGCTTCTGATAACATTGTTGACAATTTAACACTGCAAATAGGCCAGTGATGGCCTAATAGAAAATAGGCCATCTATTTCATAGAGTCCCAGACGGGTAAAAGGCTGACCTGATTCAGGTATTTCCCCCCGTAGAAGGTCTGGTAGTGCATCTTATTGAGGTAAACCGGAAAGGTGAAGGGCTCGATCTCTTTCTGCCACATCACACTGCTGCAGTTGCCAGAGATAGAGTTATTTCGGACTGAATGATTGTGTGGATATTTGCCACTGAGGATGCTGCTACGACTGGGACAGCACAGAGGGGTGGCAACGAACTAAACGCAACAGGAAAGGAGAAACTTGTGATATTTGATCAGCTCTGTGAAAAGGTCTTTATGGCTGAGCACTCACCGCATTGGAAAAAGTCACACCAGCATCACCGATCAGTACTTTGGTCTTCTTCATGGGCGTCTGTGGAAACAGAAAGACTCAAAGTGACTCTTATAGCATTAATATAACGCATCATCTGTGACACCTAAAATATCAACAGGATGTATTATTTCACACACTAATTTTCACCAAATGACGAACTTGACAAATGAAACAACTTCAGGTTCAAAATGTCTTTAACATGCTCTCCCTGCATACCCAGCATGAAACTGATTTAGCTTAGTAGGCAATATATAGATCTCAAAAACATAAAATAAATCTGTTATGTTGTATATTACACTGGTGGTCAAAAGTTTGGAATAATTAAGATGTATTTGTTCGCTTTTTTGTGAAAGAAGTCTCTCCTGCTCGCCAAGTCCGCATTTATTTGACAAAAATACAGTAAAGGATACCTGAAGGATCATGTGACACTGAAGACTGGAGTAATGATGCTGAAAATTCAGCTTTGATCACAGGAATAAATTACATTTTAAAAAGCATAACAATAGAAAGCAGTTATTTTAAACTGTAATAATATTTAAAAAAAATACTATTATATTTTAAAGTACATTCAAATAGAAAACCATTATTTTAAATTGTAATAATATTTCACATTACTGTCTTTTTGATCAAATACATGCAGGCTTGATGAGTAGAAGAGACTTTTAAAAATAGTAATATATTTTTGGACGTACACCAAGTAGTACCACTGTATTTTTGGGAGTTCACTGAAATACTATGTCAATATAGTGTATGGATTTCAGAACCCTGTTAAATATCAAAGTACCATGGTATTACTATTTTATTAAGTTACCAGAACGGTACTTTTGTTCAAAGGTGGAATTGTCATGGTGCAGCACGACCAACAAAAACACATTTGTATTGTACTTTTGTACACTTACCATTCCTCCCATTTGCACATCCTGGTCGTCGGTGAGAATGAGAATGATGTTGTTCGGTTTGACGCATTCTGAACACCTGAGCGTGCAGGTGAGAAGAGTGACGAGGACACAGGTGGACACGACGCGCGCGCTGGACGTGCACTGACCGAAGCGCGAGCTCGCCATGAAGCCAAAATCGGGTTAAAATCAGCCCAAACCCCCGATCTCTCTCTCTGTGTGTTTGTGTACCTGCCTATACCGAAGACACGGAATCTGTCGAGTGCAAGAGGGTTTCTCGTGGCGAACTGCAGCTCTCGCGGACGGACCACGGTGGGATGAGCTGAGAAAGTTTGAGGAAGTGAGACGCTGTGTGTGTCATATGACTTCAGCCTGATATAACAGCTGATACATTAAGTCATAGTTCAATTTCGTAAAATAATCAAATGAACCGTTGTTTTGGAGTTTTTCTTCCACTGACATGAACTTTGTGCATATTAAACGATGTTCTGAGTAACTTTGCATCGTTTTTATTTTATTTTATTTTTTTATGTGAATAATGCTCTGACAACACAACATCGTCCACAATCTTCTATTAGAATATTTGTTTTATTTAAATGTAAGTTTATTAATCATTTATATGACATTTTATATACAAAAAATGTATGTATATTCACGTATGTTGAATTGAATAGCATCATCGTCGCCAATAAAGAGGAATAGGACTAAACTATAAATACATATTCCTCTCTCAAATTAACTAAATAAAATGTTAACAAGCATGACAATGCTCGTTTTATTTCAAGGTCACACCCCCCTTCCCTTTCACGTGATTGTTTGTTATTTGTTTAGAATCGAAAATGACTTGGTATTGTAACGTTATGCATTTGAGGATCAAGAAAAACTTCCTGGGCCTGTCAAATTCATTGTTTTATTTATGTTTTATTTTAATTCTCATATTTAATGTGGCAATTATGCCTGCACCCAGTCGGAACTTTTTATGAGTGCACCAACATATGTGCATCACTCAAAATAGATCCCCCTGTGTACATGAGATATGAAATGACGCTTGTGGCCCAAAAACCTGAACTGAATGTTGGCCTTTTTTTCTTTTCTTTTTTTTTTTAGACGTTTCTGAACAACCTAATTGTCGATTAAATCTATTGTTTAACATGCATGATACGTTGCTACGTAATTGTAGCAACGTATCGATCCGGTGGATCGCTACCGGTGTAGCGATCCTTTTACAGTAATCACAAATGGCTGTGATTGGTCCATCCTCGCCAACGCTGTAAAAAGTAACATAAATCACATGTAAACACCACATCCTTCGCTGTGGTTATGACACTATTAACTTCAAAATGTATTATGAGAAACGTAAAGAAGTTTAATTTCAAAATAGAAAGTGAAGGATTGAAACACAATACTTATTATCTATGCCTATCGAGACCAATTAAAGAGAAATTTCGGGCCACTAACGCGCGCACTTGAATCATTTTTTTTCTGCGACTCACACGTTCCCTCAGTCTTGTGAAAGTGCAGAGGGTTGGATTACATCTGATCTGTAGTGGTAGATGAGGTAGTTAAAATTGTCTGAAGGGGTATCTAAAGTGTTTACTCTAGTCTAGACTATGATCCCATTAAAACGCAGGAAAGTATCTCTAACTGTCAGCCAACAGAATGACATCTGTAAATTTCCCCATGTTTCTATATTCATCTTGGAGAGAAAGATGGGAACATCTAGAAGAGCATTTCTTACACGACTAGGACGGAGCAAAGGATTTCTTATTAAAGAAACCTACAGGTATGTTTAATTTACGAACAGTCGTCAATTTATCATGCTACTGCAACTTAATTTTAGAAAACACGAGTTATTAATCTATTATACAAATGGATTTAAATAATATATACTTTTGTGCATTACTATAGTGAGTAGAAATATATAAATAATGTAACTTAACTTAGCTAAGTTTAGATATATAATATACATTTTCAATGGGTGTTTAGAAATGTTTTTAAATTTTAGGATGGGTCCTTCACATGAGGATGTTCATATTTGGGGGTCCTTGGCATCTCAAAGATGGAAAACCCCTGCCATGAAAGATAACTTTTGGTGTAGCCCAGTTTGTTTTCTTCTACAGTTCCTCCATCACACATATTGTATCAGAAAACAACAGTGGAGATGAAGTGCAGGCCTGGCTGGACAATCAAACAGGACCAGACACGTCCAGTTCTGTCCATTTATTAGACATCAGGTGGTTTACGGAGAGCATGGAGGCAGGACATCCCGTTACTGTTCAGGACAGACACACATTACAGGTACAAGAGCAGATCTCACTTGCTGGAACTGCTTTTATAGACACATTACGTTAAAAAGAGCAAATTAACTAAGTATGTAAATGTGTTGCAGGTTAACCCAAAACCCAACCTAGGCCCAGCTGCAATGCTGGTGAAAAGTTATGCCTGTCAAAGACGAACACCTTTGAAACACCACAATTCATTTCTAACAGTGAGTTATTTGATGTCTCAACTGCTTTCTGTTTATTCACTGCCATTGAATTAAAGATGAGCAGTTATTCGACACTCTGTCCTGTAGGAAGCTCTTGAAATCTTGTCTCAAAATGCCGAATTTAATGACAATGAAGGACGGAGCGTCGCTTTTAGACGGGCAGCTTCAGTCCTGAAGGCCCTTCCCCATCAAGTGAAGAACATGGAGGATCTGAGATCTTTGCCCTGCCTGGGTGACCATTCACAGAGGGTTATTAAGGTGACAATTATGCTTTCCTGTAGCCTTAAGGGATAGATAGACCCAAAAAAGCTGTTCCAAACCCGTATAAAATTTGTTCTGCTGAAGAAAAACCATTGCCTTTGTCGCTTTGGATACCAGTGTCTGCTAAATGCATAAATGTAAACTTCTCTCAAAAATCCATAGTCAAGATATATCTGTTAAGAAGCTTATTTCACCATTCAGGAGATTTTAGAAGATGGATCATCAAGAGAAGTGGAGTCAACAAGACAATCGGATCAATTTCAGGCCATGAAGGTGATGATGGGTATATGTTCAAAAATAGCATTCTGAATATTGGCATCTGCCATTATAAATGAAATGCCTGACTTTTTTACCATTAGTTTGTGAATTATGAAGTCGCAACCTTTTCTGCAGGCACTAACTGGTATTTTTGGGGTGGGTGTGCGGACGGCAGATCGCTGGTTTAGAGAGGGATTGCGATCTCCTGATGATTTGTTACGCACAGGACAACAGTTGAACCGTGCACAGCAAGCAGGTACTGCATTTCAATATGCTACATTTTTGTAATTATATTCATAAATATAGAAATATATTTATCAAACAACCTATATAGTGTGTATGGGGTGATGAACAGAGAAATCAAATTTTCCTTGAGCTTTTGACATCTAAGAGGTCATCATATTATAAGAATATCCTGTAAGTTTTAGAACTGAAAACGTCCTTATTAGTCCAATAAAAGCTTTTCAGCAAATGACTCGTTCCCCCAAGTGCATCGACGAGTGAGTTGAAACTCATTATAATATGCTAAACTGTTATCCACTCACAGCAGTGGGCGTTTACTTCCAAGTCTTCAATGCGAGACGCCCATAAAAAGCGAGCGTTTCTGAGCTGGGCTGAAAACTAGGGTGAAAAATAGCCTATTACTGATTCATTTTGATGTTTTGGAATGCAAAAACCAAGCGAACGTCATAAGTTGACCTCAGACAACAATATAATAAAATTTAAAAAGCCAGTTCATGACCCCTTTAACAGTTAAAACTGAAATGGACGATCTAGAATTTGAAATGACATCTAACCTCATCACTTTCAGGAGTCCAGTATTACGCTGACCTCCAGAAACCCGTCACTAAGGCGGAGGCTGATGTCATCAGTGATATCGTAGAGAAAGCTGTGCACGCTGTGCTGCCCGGAGCGGAGATCAGGCTCATGGGAGGGTTCAGAAGGTCAGAAACTGTATCTTCAAAGCATTTTTCTGAGTATACTGTACGTATTCAGGTTAAAGGGATAGTTCACTTTGAAATGAATTTTTGGTATGTTTTAGTTTACCTCAAGGGCATCCAAGATGTAGGTGTCTTTGTTTCCACAGTATTTTCAATTTTGGCATTTTTAGGTCAAACCGTTCTTGTCTGTCAGTCATATAATGGAGGTCTATGGTCACCACCTCAAAGAGCATGCACAGAGAAGTCCAAATTAAACATGATTTAATGACTCGTAAATGTAAGTACACAATGATGGCCTAAGACACGAAACGAGCAGTTTGTGTGAGAAAACGAACAGTATTTATATCGTTTTAGCTCTTGTTACCACAGCCACGTCCAAGTGATCTGAGGGCACGGGGGCGCATTGTGGCTGTGGTTACAAGAGGTAAAAATGATATAAATACTGTTCGTTTTCTCACACAAACCACTTGTTTCGTGTCTTAGGCCATTGATGTGAAATTACATTTATGAGTCATTAAATCATGTTTAATTTGGACTTCTCTGTGCATGCTCTTTGAGGTGGTGACCATAGACCTCCATTATATGACTGACAGACAAGAACGGTTTGACCTAAAAATATCAAAATTGAAACTACTGCGGAAACAAAGACACCTTCATCTAGGATGCCCTTGAGGTAAGATAAAACATACCAAAAACTGATTTCAAAGTGAACTATCCCTTTAGGTTTGATGTACTACATATACAACTTTATAAATAGAGCTGTGCGATTAATATATTTTACATTTTGCGACTATATAAACATTAAACAATCAAGCAGTTGAGATTCGCTGTATATATTTCAGGGGGAAAGAAGTCGGTCATGATGTGGACTTTCTCATAACACATCCAGAAGAAGGAAAAGAGGAAGGACTGATGCCTAAAATCACAAATTGGCTGGAGGAGCAGGTACTTGTGAAGTTCTTTTGAATAGTTGGATGATCAAATCCATTCGTTGTGTCTGTTTGGTGTTGTAAATTCATTTCACTCATGCAATATCTTTACAAAGTAGCATGTATTTTTCATCAGGGTTTACTGCTGTATCAGAAGACGACCAGAAACTCTTACCTGGAAAAAATGGACGGTCCAGGTAGAGCTCCTTATAACATGGATCGCTTTGAGAGATGCTTTTCCATATTTAAGCTTCAGAAAGGAAGTGAAACTGAAGGAGCCAGTGGGTCAGGCTGGAGAGCTGTACGGGTAGATCTTGTGGTCAGTCCCTACAGCCAGTTTGCCTTCGCTACGCTCGGATGGACCGGGTCTAAGGTGTGGAGCTTCCTCACTTCTAAAGGATTAAATTGTTTCCAAAATTTCTATTATGTTTTGTTTGTTTTCAGTTAGTTTTATTGGTCGAGTAGTTTTAAACACTTACTAAATACTTGAATTATTAAACACATTTAGTAATTTTCATAGTCAGATCACTGATTATTGATTGAAATCAATCAAAATTGATCAAATACACACAATATATACTGTAAATATGAAGAGTTCAGATGCAAAAGCCTCTAAATGCCATTTGAAATTTTCTTCTTTAATGATGATTTTTATCAAACTTGTATATTTAAGTTCAGTAATTTAAGTGAAATTACTGAACTTAAATATACAAGTTTTATAAAAATCATCATTAAAGAAGAAAATTTCAAATGGCATATAGAGGCTTTTGCATCTGAACTCTTCATATATATATATATATATATATATACACACATTCTATGTTTTTGACATTTTTATTAGTTTTTGTTATGTCTATATAGTATAGAGTTTATACATTTTCAGTTTTGGTTATTGGTTATAACATTTCAGTTTTGGTTATTTTTTTCAGTTTAAGTTTTAAAGTTTTAAACTTAAAGTTTAAGTTTTTATTTCAGTTTACGTTGGTAACAAAAGGTATCATAGGTGGATTAATGTGAATGTTTAACGGAGTCGTCACACCTGACTTCCTCCTCTCGCAGTGTTTGAGGTCAGTGATGTTCACTCATGATGGGCTGTTTGTTCTGCAGCTGTTTGAGAGGGAGTTGAGGCGGTGGGCTGGGCAAGAGAAGCACATGTCTCTGAGCAGTCACGCTCTGTATGACAGCAAACAGGTGAGCCACATCGGTCGGCATGTGTCTACTAAAAGTACATAACTCTTTACAATAAGGTTCATTAGTTAGTAACATTAGTAAACTACATTAGTTAGCATGAACTAATAATGAAATGAAGTTATACAGCATTTATTAATCTTTATTCATGTTAATTTCAACATTTACTAATATTTTATTAAAATCTTGTTAAAGGGTTAGTTCACCCAAAAATGAAAATTCTGTCAGTATTTACTCACCCTAATGTTGTTCCAACCCCGTAAGACCTTCATTCATCTTCGGGACACAAATTAAGATATTTAAGATATTAACCCCTTAACTGTCACCCCCCCTTTTTGAGAATGGGGGTTAAATGCTCTATTCACACTTAAATGGTTGTAATTTAAGAATGCCTTGGAATATATACCCAAGTTTGGTCTTGTTTTAAAGAAAACACTCAGCAGATTATTGCTGAAGTGAAAACACTTCAAAAAATGAAAGTATGAAAAAGTTATGGAAGTTTTAATTCACAATAAATCAAATATACTGTACTATATATTTTTTTATTTTATATAAAATATATATTTTACAAAATATTTTTATTCTAAAATTACTATAAAATCAAAGCCATAAATCGAACCAAGTTATGTTCCAAATTTGAAGTTGATATCACAAAAATTGAAGTTCCCATGAGATTTTGTTTAGGCGTAGTACCAAAAATAGCCACCGGGTGCCATTGAATTCCATTGAATTTAGTTGTGTACATTCTGCCTTAACAAATTAATACATTTCTGTCCAAATATCAATTTTGTCACAAAATTTGGAACCTTCAGACTCAGACCTTTCTGACAATATGTGTTTTATCAAGATTAATAAAGGTTTTGATCATAAATTATGAAAAATAAGGATGCCCAAAAGGGGAGGAGCCTCATAAAATAAGTACCGTTTCTATGGTAACGCAACGTTCAATTATAAAATGGTTTTCACAGGATGAATTCTGAGTTTATAAGCTTTCAAATGATACCTAATTTATGATAACTACTAAAATGTGTGATATAATAAAAAAGGCGATAAAAATATTATTATATTTTAGAGGATAATATATACATATATTATCATTTTTAGAGGATAATTTTATACTATACTTTTTATTTTTTATTGAAAAATACTAGATTATATGTTTTATTATGAACTTTTAGCATAAAAACAGAAGTTTCAATGATTAAAAGTGGGTGCATCAACTTTTTGTGACAAAGGTCAGACCTCCTGTTATGATGCAGATTTTCTTAGGTGCACTCTTGTCATAAATTCATTAATTACTCTTCCTACATAATTTTTAACACAAAACAGGGGTCGAATATTTAATTAGAAGTCTTAGACCTTTCCAAAAATATATAATTTGTCATAATTAGATTAGGATTTAATAGAAATATAGTGAAGTAAAGTTAGGCGTCCCGGTACCGGGACGGTGACAGTTGATCGCTCCTGCATACTAGTCCATAGGCTTCTTGAGGGACTGGCTCTTGCTGCCATCAAAAAGTCATCAAAGACATCGATAAAATAGTCCAAGTGACTACAGTGGCTCAATTTTAACTTTATCAAACGACAAGAATAATTTTTGTGCGCAAAAACAAACAAAAATAACGACTTTATTTCAACTATTCACTTCCTTCTCCATGGGCCTGTAGTCAGTTAACGTAGTGTGATTGCGTAAAGGCTGACGCTGGTCATGTGTGTGATGCGTGTGACGTACAATAACCGAAGCTTACGCTATTAAGCTAGTAACCTGACTCGAGGCAGAGGGACAAATAAACGAATTGTTGAAATAAAGTCGTTATTTTTGTTGTTTTTGCACACAAAAAGTGTTCTCGTCGTTTGATTAAGTTAAGATTGAGCCCCTGTAGTCACTTGGACTATTTTAACGATGTCCTTTAATGACTTTTCGAGGCCAGCAATAGTCATTCCCTGAAGAAGCCTATGGACTAGTATACAGGAGCGATCTTAATATCTTAAATATCTTAAATATCTTAATTTGTGTTCTGAAGATGAACGAAGGTCTTACGGGGTTGGAACAACATGAGGGTGAGTAAATACTGACAGAATTTTCATTTTTGGGTGAATTAACACTTTAACATTAGTTTATGCACTGTGAACTAACATGAACAAAAAAATCAGCAGCTTTAAAAGATGAAAAAATACAGTAACAAATGTATTGCTCATGGTTAGTTCATGTTAGTTCAATACACTAACGATTGTTAACTAATGAAGCCTTATTGTAAAGTGTTACCAATACATCAATAGTTATAGTATGTTAAAGTGCCCCTATTATGCTTTTTAGGATATTAACTGTAGTGTGTAATATAGGTGGTAGTAAATGTATGAGTTATGGAGTGCAATAGAGTGCCGAAGTTATGACGTCACTTTGTAGGCCAAAACGCGGAAGTGAGTTAGCATTTTAGCACTCCTGGTTCCCTCGCTGTAAAGCCTATGGGATTTTTGAATGGGTTTTTGCTAAATCGCCTGAAATAAGATCTGTGGTGAACAAAGCCTGTAAATATTTTCACGTTTTGATCTATGACATAGAACACACAGTTATAACCAGCTTGTGTTTTTTAAAAACTTTATAGGCTTAAAATGTATACATTTTGTATTAACTTGTAAAGATTATCTTGATAGACAAACGTGTAAGGGTCACAACTCTTTGTTAAACACAGGTCTAATTTTTTGCGATTTTCCAAAAGTCTATGAGGAAAATGCATAGTTTTTAGATCGAGGGAACCCATGTGATGCTAACTTCCGAGTTGTCCTACAAAGTGACGTCGTCACTTCGGCAATCTATTGTCTCCCCGAAACAATTCTGAACTGCCTGAAATATGTCGTCAGTAATTCCAGTCTTACTTCTTGCATGAACCTATGTAGGTTTGTAAAAGATTTGCATAATGCCAGACTATGGTCTCGACTGGCTGCTGACGAACAAAGTCTGCTTTGACCCTCAAACACTGTAGTTGTAGCTGGGACTGGAAGAGTCTGGTTTGTGTTGTTGTCATGTAGAGAAGATGCTGTTTTCTGTGCTGTGAATACACATAAATACAGATATGGTGATGGGCATTTTGCTTCCGACACATAAGGTGCTCACTTAAGATGGCGAAATACCCTGTGAAGTCCACTTCGCAGTCCACTTACGGTCGAATGGAACGAAAAGAGCTGATACTGCATTGTATATTAGGAGAAAAGTGTTTCTTTTTTTACCTTGGATGCATGTAAACCTATGGCAGGAGACTCCAAAAGTAAATTAGGAGTCTTTAAAAGAGCAGATAGGGGCACTTTAACATATTCTGTGTTGCTGATAATTTACTCACCCCCATGTCATCCAAGATGTCCACGTCTTTCTTTCATCAGTCGAAAAGAAATTAAGGATTTTCAAGGATTTTCTCCATATAATGGACTTCATTGGGAACCAAACGGTTCAAGGTCCGAATGAGAGTTTCAGTGCAAACTGCAAACTTTTCAAAGGGCTTTAAACGACACCAGACGATGAATAAGGGTCTTATCTAGGACCCTTCAAGTCATGACTCAAAAAAAGATTTGTTCATTTTGATAAACGAGTTTGAACAGGAGAGTCACGAATACATTTTTTTTTTTAAATGACCGATCTTTTCGCTAGATAAGACCCTTATTCATCGCCTGGTGTCGTTTAAAGCCCTTTGAAGCGGCACTGAAACTGTCTTTTGGACCTTGAACCGTTTGGTTCCCAATGAAGTCCATTATATGGAGAAAAATCCTGGAATGTTTTCATCAAAAACCTTAATTCCTTTTCGACTGAAGAAAGAAAGACGTGGACATCTTGGATGAAATGGGGGTGAGTAAATTATCAGCAAAAGTTTTTTTTTAAATTTAACTACTCCTTTAAATACTTTTTGGTCTAAATATTGTATAATATATGTACAAATTTGGATGTATATATTTTATTCATTTAGCAGACGCTTTTATCCAAAGCGACTTACAAATGAGAACAATAGAAGCAGTTAAATTAACAACATGCAAGTTCCTTCCCAGTTTAATCTAACACAGTACGTGTGGGTTTTTTATATTAATTTGAATTTTTTTAGATAATAGATATAGAATAGAAGATAAGGTGTTAGTATTAATGAATCAAGTGTTGTCGAAAAGCAGTGAAAATGGGCAGGACATTCCACCAGCAGGGAACAGACCTTTTTCTGGTATAAAACATTTAGGTTTTATAAGTCAACATTAAATGTTTAACTGTAAAATACTTAACACCTTGCTAAAAAGAGCTACATTTACATCTCTCTCTGTAAAATTGTACAGAATCTATACCTCAGAGCAAAGACGGAAGAGGAGATCTTTGCCTACCTGGGTCTGGAGTTTATTCCTCCGTCCGAGCGCAACGCCTGAATGCAGTCTCCAATTATCACGACTAATGTGCCAGTGCTTCCATCACAGAGACGTATAAACTTTTGACTTTAGCTGCCAGGTTTGATCAGATCACATTTCACACGGAAAGGTTTATATTGGATCGCATCGGATATCTGCCAGTAATTTGATCAGTTTTCTCTGTGCTTTGCACTATAGTTTTGACGTGGTTCTTTGTTAATAAGGTAATGAGAAATAGCCATTCTTTTATCAGACACTTGAATGTTTAAAAGATGTTGTTCTTATTTTATACATTTTAATTAAATATTTTAATTAAAACTGAAAATGTGTCAGTATATATTATTTCCATGTTAGCGCTCCATTCGTTTGACATTGTCTTTTGGATAAATGACCATCGGTGCGGTGGTAATTTTGATTTTATCGTCTTCGTCTTAGCTGCTGATGTGATTGTCTACAATTTATAAATATTTTAATTTTGATAAAGTTGCATATACTAATGTTCTACTGACATTTACAGAGATGTATGGAGGCTCTCGGAGGATATTTGATGCATGTACTCATCATATATGCAGATGTGTTTGTGGTTAGATGATGCCTGACATTATTCTAACCTCCTTTTTGTGCACCTGGTTCATTTTGACCCGCTTTTCCCAACCGCCAAACATATATTTTAAAACATTTTCTAGAAAACTGGGGGGAAACAGACTACATAACGTAACTAAAAAAATAAACACATTATATTCAACAGCCATTTTGTTTTTCTGTCATTGCAACCTACTTAAAGGTGTCCTCTGGGATAAAAAAAATCAAATCATACGCCATATTCCATACCAAATGGGGGCAGTATACCTCCAGAAAAATACCTCCGCGGCCGCGCGCATTCATGTCTTCAAACAACACGGGCGAGCGCTGTTGTCTCCCTCGTGCATATAGACCCTTTTACAGTTGGTAAACATGGTGACGTTTTTTGTGGGCGGAGCTTAGGTGGAGGCAGAAAGATCCATCTGGCCGCTTCACTAACGCTAGTTAGCAAGGATTTTTAGCTTGTTTTTTAATAATGACTGGAGAAAATACGATATTATCTTTTAATGTGCAAGGTCACTCAGTGTCCAGGGGGCTGTTTCATAAAAGTCGCTTAGAAAAGCAGGGATTAAAGTCCAAAACCTGACTTGAATGAGCCGAGCTAAACATCCGCGCTTAAATTGGTTCCATAACAGTAAGTTGAGGATCATATGATCTTACTAATTTGAGTCAGGTTTAAATAGTCTAGATAATTGCGCGTGCACGCCATTCTTTAAAAGTCCTGAAAAGTCGAGCATGGGTCAATCGATTTACCGTGGGCTACCATGGCAACAAAAGGAAATGATAGAGCAGCGATGTTCACGGCAACGGAACAACGTTTGCTATTGGAAACATAATGAAGAATTTAAAGATGTCATCACCAAAAAAGTCAATACAGCGGCAAGAGAGAAAGTTTGGCAGGAAATTGCTGATCGTCTCAATAGCGGTGTAAACTATTTAAAATACTTAAACATTTAATGTGTGTCACAATACATTGCAAAATGTGTGTGTGTATAACAGTAACGTTAATTGCTTTAACGCAGCAGCAACTTAAGTGAAGGAAAAAGAACCTGGCAGCAGGTGAAAATAAAATATACAAATATAGTTCTGAATGGTAAGTAAATCTAATGATATGTAGATATGTAATCAATGCCAGCTTGAAGTTACAACTATTATTCAGGGTTTTTTGTTTTTTTTTTAATTATTTTCTTTATTGAAGCGACCAAAAAGAAGACTGAGTTTGTTGGCACTGAGGGAAGGCATCATCTAAAATGATATCACGTAGTATAAGGAGTGAGTATATAAAAGGGGTGTGTGTGCGTTTTATTATCATTATTCCTTCATGACTAACTGATTTCCTCCTTCCTTAGGCATTCCTAAGTACATCATAGCACTAATGTCATGTGGTACTTGTGTTATTGTAATGGTGCATTTTCGTAAAAAAAAAATAAATAAATTCTATCAAGATTCTGTATGTTTTATGGATCCACCAGACATCATGTTGCCTGTGAGTATGAGACCTTTTTAAATCCGTTATGTAAGCTAATGAGTTTAACTGAGTTTAATCAGTGGTCACAGGGAGAAGGCCCATCAGTTGAGGAGGATGAGGAGACTGTGTCTGTATGTTCAAGGAGGGGGTACTCACAGGTTCCATCCATGCTATACTGTATTGGATATTAAAAAGTGTACTTGTGTGATAAAATGATCATAATGTGTTTTCAGGATGCTGACACTGTTCTAGAGCCCTCTCAGTCTGGGACCACAAATGAAAACAATGTGACAAGAGTAATGAAATAACTTAAATGTTGCTACATAACCCAGAAAACATAAAAGGAGAGTATAAATGATACTGCCTTAAACAAATGGAAGCAACTGATATCGACATGCAGTATAAAAAAACTAAAGATGAGGAAGTTGGAGCTGGAAATTCAACAGCTACAGAAAAATGCAAGTAGAACTACCATTTTTTTTAAAAAGGAAAAGAAAGAAAAAACATTATCTTTTTGATTATTCACAACATTTGTTTGTGTGTTTTCACCCCTAACAGGCAGATTCACTCTGAATAAAGACAAATCACATTAAATACTTTGACTTCTGTGTGTTTGTTCAACTAAGGAGAAAGTTGAGGGGCCAGTGGAAAATTTTAAAGGCTACACAGTAGAGCCAGACCGATATATCGGCCGATATTAGGCATTTTCCAAAATATCGGTATCGGCAGTTATAATGGCCGATAAATGAATATTTAAAAAATAAAAATAAAAACAGATGAAACATGCTTCAATCATCTCTCCTTGGCCTGTTATATTGAAAATGTATGTTTTACAATTTGCAGTATGATGTTATGTATTGCTAAATTATGGCTCATCATAGACTAGCTAACCACAAAGCAAGCTAATGCCAATATCATCAGTGGAAGACCGCTAACGTTAACATTAATGAGCTATGAACTTTTTCTGGCTAAATAAAGTAATGATTACTGTATTTATAACTAGCATATCTCTAGTTACAGCCCCTGCCTTGTAAAATGTAAGTTATACTTGTGAGGAGTGAACATTTAGACATAGAGAAAAAGTATCAAATGTATCTTGTGCAGAAAAGTTAGTTTTTCTTTTACACATGTGTGAAATCCAACAATATTTAATAAAAAAAAATATCGGCCGATATATCGGAATATCGGATTTTAAAACCCAAAAATATTTGTATCGGTATCGGCCTTCAAAATCCTTTATCGGTCGGGCTCTACTACACAGTCAAGGTTTAGACCATATTAAACATAATAATTATTTGCATATGTGTGGGCTTGGTAATCTACAAATATATGCAATCCCATCTCTTGAGAACCTATATCGTTCATACAGGTAGCTGTCATTTAATAACAATGGGTCTGACCTGTCTCTGAAAGTTCTCTGTCTTTGAAATGCCCTCCGCAAGACTATAGCTCCCTCATCCAACACCTCATCTATGAAAGGACACGCCATGGTTAAGTTTGGAAACGAGTTCAGCTCCCTATTTATATACTTCATTAATTACCAAACTCATTAAACAAACTCACCAATTAAATACACAAGTTTTGAACATTTCTTAGTGCATTTATACCTTATAATTTCTTACATTTATGAGTAAAGTACATTTCCTTATTTATTTAAAAAAAAAAATTGCATTAATAGTGGTTAAAGGAGCAATGTGTGATTTTTAGCGACATCTAGTGGTTCGGTTGCGAGTTTGCACCAGGTTTGCACTAAGGGCTCAGCCCACTGCTCACCCCTCCCTTTCGAAGAAGCTACGGTTGCTAAAACGGGACAAACATCTCGACGGCTGAGACAGCAGAGAATAGCCAGAGTAAGCCAAGAGTGTGTAACATTGTCACTGTTTCTGTACCACAGTCCATTATAAACCACATCATGAATACTGTTTACAAAGCCATAGTCAGGTGAGGATCAAGGGTTTTAATATATAATTTAATAAAATAATAGTAATCAGCTGATTGTCTCACAAACGTAACCAGCAGCACATTTCTCCACACATACTGTAGCAAACCCATAATACAGCGAGGGAGCAGCTATATATTTTTTCTAACAGGGTAGTAATAGTTTAGCTGGCTAATATGAGCTGTTACTGTGGCTGAGCTGGGACTCGTCCGCATCGCATGAGTCCAAAGGTCGGAAGTGCGCGCGCTGTTACAATCATGTCATCTCCGCATCCCATAGATACTATTTACTACACACAATAGGCTTTTTTTTCTCTGATTTTGAAAAATCTTCGCGATCGACTTTAGTGATAAAAGACTTTAGTAAAAGTCTCTATCGACGGTAGGGATGCACCGAATATTCGGCCGCCGAAAATTTTCGGCCGAAAATGGCCCAAAAGTGCATTTTCGGTTTTCGGCCGAAAGACTTTTATCACCGAAACAATACGGCCGAAATGTTGTGATGACGCAAACAGAAACCGCGACCTGCACGTGCTTGTCTGAAGCAACATGTCTGCGTTGTGGAAGTATTTCAGTGTATCTGAACCCGCGAGGAGATGGAAACCTTGTTTATCCACCTATATCTGCTCTAAACAATGCGTGCCGCCATGACGACGAATCCGGTTGCGAGCGGGTCAAGAGCGGTGCGCGCGCTGTCTGTGGAGACTCGCGCTGCGGAGGCAGGCGAAAGTATAAACAAGGCAGCGCGAGTCTCCACAGACAGCGCTCGCAACCGGATTCGTCGTCATGGCGGCACGCATTGTTTAGAGCAGATAAAGGTGGATGAAACAATTACAAATTATAAATAAGACTCGCGCTGCAGAGGCAGGCGAAAGTAAACAAGGCAGCGCGAGTCTCCACAAACAGCGCGTGCATCGAGGCGTTTATACTTCGTTGCGCGTCTTGTTGTACTATTCCTTGAAACGACAGGGGACGACTCAAGTAGCTGTCCTCAGTCTAACCAATCAGGAATCGGTGAGAAGAAGACAGATAAATACATGACAATGTTTATTTTTTAGTATTCCACCACCAATACAAAAATAAATATAGCTGCAAGCAGCCATTACCGGGGCCAAGCGCAAGAAGCGGCAACATATGCCAAAATGGCAAGGAGTGGCAGACCAACTGCAGCAAGGAGCAATTAAGGGCATTTTGAGAGAACTTTGGGCAAATGGCTAAGAAAATCACATAAACATTAACTTATAAGATGATTTAATGGGTTATCACTTTCGAACAATAGGTGGCGCAGTTACGAAATAGATGTGATGTGGTCAGAGTGAGGTGACAATGACACATGCAAAGTTTGGTGTCAAAATGTGAAGGCATAGCAGAGATAAAGCCTAAATAGTCATTTTGGCAGCATGCCTAAATTTTGATGCTGTGGTATACGAAAACGGGTTTGTCTATCATCGTGCAATTCATAACTTTTAGTCGACACGGTCTGGAGATGATACGATTCAATTTTCGTGAAAATCGGACAAACGGTCTAGGAGGAGTTCGAAAAAGAAGGTTTTTCAAAGAAATAAAGATGGCGAACAGGACGTTTGTCTGATTATGGAAAACCTGATATCTATGTTTTTCGGCATAATCCAAGGAATCTATTAAGATCAGTTTCATTGCAATAGGCAAATTTATTCAAAAGTTATTAGCGTTCTCAGAAATTAATTATAACTTTTGACCAACAGG